AGGAGAGAGGCAAGGTCCTAAGCAAATACTTCATGAAAGAGTATATGTGGAAGGTGAACCGACACATGAGAAGATGTTCATTGTCGTTAGGGAAGTGGAAATTAAAACCACAAGGTGACTACCTCCTACTTACTCAAATGGCTACAGTTTTAATAGTTGATAGGACCAAAGTCCAGTGAGGGTAGGAAATGCGTTCATTTCTGGTGGATTGCAACAGCATCCCGCTGTTCAGACTGAAGGAACTGTCTCCCGTAGTGCTGTGCTGCTGGACATATCCCTCAAAGAAATGACACCGCCAAGGGTGGACCTTGCTGTTGATGAACTCAAAGCAACCAACCATGAAGTCAGAGGTGCCCAGGGTGGAACGCAGACTGCAACGCAAGAATCTGACCATTACACATGTGTGACATCCCCTCACTAAGGGGGTGGGGAGAACTGACTTTGGAAAGCTGAGTTTTGACTGTAAAAAGGAAAGAAGAAAGGAAGGAAGGAAGGAAGGAAGGAAGGAAGGAAGGAAGGAAGGAAGGAAGGAAGAAAGGAAGGAAGGAAGGAAGGAAAAAAAACCCTGCGTGTGTGTGCGTGCACGCGTGCGCGCGCACGCACACACACACATCCATGCCCTCGTTGGCAGCCATGCTTCCCACAGAGCTAAGAGTGGTAATTCTGGAGCCACATGAGTACCAGGGGATTGTGCAGAACTGTATTGTAAATGTGGGAGCCAGGCTGTACCGCCAGAGGAGGAAGTCACAGGTATGCAAGGGGGAAGGCAAGAATGAACTGCAAGCAAGGCTGAGGTGGAGAGCGGGTGTTAGTAAAAGCTAGTGTTTAAGATAAAGGATGGATGGATGGACAGATGGATGGATGGGTGGATGGATGGATGGATGGATGGATGGATGGATGGATGGATAAATGGATGGATGGATGGATAAATGCATGGATGGATGGATGGATAAATGGATGGATGGGTAGGTAGATAGGTGGATGGGTGGGTGGATGGATATGGATATAGATGAAATATTGTTATGGTTTATATCTAGATATAAACCCCCGCAAATCCTCAGGAGCTCATAGGTGGGGCTTTGTGGCAGTGAATGGATCATGTGCACTGGCACGGAGAAACTCCAAAATGACACCCAGGATTTGGAGGCAGATTTATTTATGTCAACAAGCACTGACTGAGATCATTCCCAGAATATCAGGCCCACCTGTAATTCTAGCTACTAAGGAGGCTGAAGTAGGAGAATCACAAGTTCAAGGCTAGCCTGGGCAACTTAGCAAGATCCTATCTCAAAATAAAATTTTAAAAAGAGGTGAGGGAGAAGAGAGGAAAGGGGAGGGGAGAGGAAAGGAGAGGAGAGGAGAGGAGAGGAGAAGATAGGAGAGGGGATGGGAGGAGAGGAGGGG